TTTTTTTAAAGAAACAAAATCAGTTTAAAACACAATTCAGACACTTGCTGTGCTACTTTCAGACACACGGTGGCGCTGCCTCCCACAAAACCCGCTGACACCTCCTCAGCAGGAGAGCATGTAATGACGAGCTGGCTGTAATGACATAGCCTCCTACATAATGAACGGCTGTAACTGGAACTCAGGGATAGGCACGATTTTCAATTTCCGACAGACTAAAGATAGACGTGGGCTGAATTACACTGAAATACGCAGAGTGGCTATTAGGCTGCAATCCACAGGAGACCCTTTAGATATACGGATGCACTGATTCAGGTATCACACTGTCAAACATGCTGCTCACTGACAGTAAATAAGTGTTTACTTACTGCACGGTTAACCCAGTTAAAGTCGCTGTAATGTGCAAATCTGATCAGTTTTCATGAGATAAATTCAAAGGTAGTGGCCAGAAATTACAAGAGCATAGTGGACTTGCATGCTATATATACTGCTATATATTAGTACACGTTTGAGCCACTCATGCTCCAATACTTCCATGTTATGCTTCTTCATATGACTACTTCAATGCATTTCAGAGGACAATGCATTATTTGACAGCTATGGTTGCATTTCAAATTAAGATTTTACCCACAAACTCATAATCAGTCATTGTTCTTCTTTACCCAATTACAACAATAAAGTACTGCTTAAATATCATTGCATCAGTTATAATTCAAGAACAGAATAATATAACATTTACAAGAAGCATTCTCCACCATGAGAGTATATTTTGGTCAGTGGAGGAACAAAAAACTCACATTCTTTAGCTAATTAAAGACCATTATCCAACTCCAGTAAACGCACAAACATGCCATCAACAAAATGCACTCAGAGTCAAAAGTAAAAGCACTTGTTCTGCAGAAAAAAGGGGCTTTGTCACATATATGATTATACATAACAATATTACATTGGGAGTAGTAACATGCATCTGTGTGTAGGCAGCATTTTTCTGCGTTGCCCAACCTAGGGGTCGTGTCCCTCTGAAGGAGTCACATGATAAATCTGAGGAGTCGCAAGATAATTAACGTAAGTAAAAGAAGATATAACGTATCCTGCATGCACAAGATTGTGTTGTGCTTGTAGGATTTGGATCATTTCACTTCTTTGGACTGTGCACATCACTGTACACGGTTAAACGAAGCCATGTGAAAAGTTTAGAGCAGAAATGTCAACCAGATGCTGATTTTTATAATAAAGGCCCCTTCACACTTCTCCTTCCTCTCAACTTCAATGGGAAATGCAATCATTTTTAGTCCAATGTATTGTGTTTAAAATCTCATTTACATATAAAAGACCAACTTATACAATGTCATGTACTGTTACATTAAATATATCGAAATATATAAACTAGTTTAAATAAAGCTCCACATTGATTGGCTGAAACAGAAGAATACTACATGCACATCAATGCATCAGTAATTGTAATAATGCAATTATGTAAATCTAAACAAGGGTATTTTCTGCTCTGACTGTTTTACTTTTGATAATTTCAACAAATTTCACTACTCATGCTTTTTCAATTCAGTAACTTTGTTTGTGAAGCTGGTATTTTAGAGTGTACGTTTACTTCTGAACAGATCCCTTGCCACTGTGAGTGAAGAAGAGTGACATCCAGTGGTTTAATATCATCTTTGTTTCATACAAACATGACAGTGACAGTAAAGTGAATGTAAGAGAATAACAAGTAAAATATTTCCCTCTGAAATGTGGTAAGGTAGAAGTCTAAATAGAGTAAGACAGAAAATGGTAAAGCAGTCACGTAAATATACTTTTTTACCTCTGATTTTTTTGCAAATACTTTTGAATGCAGGACTTTTGCTACTTTTAAAGGTGAGCAATAAATAAATCGAGTGCAAAAGTGTAAATTTGCTGCTTTAACTTAAGTAAAGAATCTAAATATTAATCCAGTACACTCTAAAATATCACTTGGTCGCAAGACTAAAAAAGAAAGAAAGAAACAAAAAATTTTACTGATTTACATTGAGATAAACCTTTAAAGTTCCAAACAATATTTTAACAAGTTGTGCTGACATATGAGTGTTGTATCAGCTTAATTTAAACTGTGAGAGTTGACTTAAAACTGAATTCAAGTGAATATTATCTAATGAAACTGATTTAATACCTACATTTTTCATCAGGTGTGATTCAGGATCTGAAGTCCCCTCCCCTAGTTTAACATACCTGGATGTTTCAATTAGTTAAGTCTGTGAATGAAACATGTTTGATTTTAGAGGAAATGTTAATTCATCCAATTTAATGTAACCTGTTGGTTGGACAAAATTTCATTAGAAGTTGTCTCAACTCAGAAAGACTGCAAACTGTTGCATTATTTAATCTTTCATTGAGCCCAAACACTATTGTCTAGAGTGTAGTGCAGTCCAATCTGCTGTCATCCATTGGTTCATTCTCAAAAAATAGGTTGTATTTCATAAGTTTATGATGTGTTTCATGTAAAATCATAATCAGACATGTCTGTGGCAGTAGAATAAATCTAGTGGGGTAAAAGTAAAACATTTCTCTAAAATGTGGAGAAAAAGAAGATTGTAGAGTAGAATAAGATATTTATACTCGAGTAAATGAGTTTTTCATCTCTGACTTTCCCACAAATGCTTTTAAATGCAAGACTTTTGTAGTGTTAAGGTGTAATCTATGAATAAATGTACTTGTACAACTTTTACTTATAGGTACAGGATCTGAATTCAATTTGTTCTTTTGTGTATAAATATGAATTAACTGACTTTTACTTGTATTGCACAACTTTTGGATTTTTGAATTGCTTTTTTTTTTTTTTAAATCTAGAAAAAGGATCTGTATATTTTCTGTATCTCCAGGTCAAAACAGCTGTTTAATCTTTAATAACTGGTTGTGCTTTATCAGTTTATCATGCCTGTTTTCATGCAAAATCCAAATCTGAAAAATGGCCATTGGGGTAAAGTAAATGTCATAAAGTATAATTAGTTAATAAATCAGTATTTTTTCTAGAGTAGATTTGCTTCTAAAAGTATTAAGGCAGGTCAGCAGATCTGGAATCCAGTAGTTCAATCTATAATGATGGTTGGGTTTTATAAGCTTATCATGGGTGCTTAATATAAACTCAAAACCTGTAAAGTTTGTTTATTAACCTTTTTTTTTTTTCTGGGTAAATTTGCTACTTTTACTTGAGTAAAAGATCTGAATGCTTTCCTCCAGCACTGCAGGTCAAAACATCTGGCATCCAGCGGTTTAATCTTTAATAACAGGTTGCGTTTTATGAGTTTATCATGTGTGTTTGGTGTAAAATTTAGAATCTGGAAAGTAGCTGTAGGTGTAAAGTAAGTCAGTATTTTAATAGAGCAGATTTTACTACTTTTATTTCAGTAATGGATGTGAACAGTTGCTCCACCTCTGCTGTACTAAACATCTGGCATCCAGTGGTTTAATCTTTAATAACATGTTGTGTTTAAAAAAAAAACCTGCCATGTGTGTCTTTATGTAAAGTCTCACTCTGAGAAGCTGTAAATGTAAATGGAGGAAATCTGATTTTTTTTTTTTTTTAACGTGTGGATTTGCTGTTTTTGCATAAGTGGAGGATGTGAGCTGCTGGAGCTGAGGTTTGTTATTTGAGGGCAGTAGCACTGATAGACATGCGCACAGCTGATGGAAGAGAGGCACATCTGCACTGACGTCACCTCCCCCCCTGAAAAAGCTGGCAGTTTGAAGCTGTCCTGCACTGGGACATACCCGGTGTCTCTGTGAGGGGGAGCAGCTGCAACACAACTCCTGCTGCTGTTTGGATGCAACTTTTTTCCCCTCTCAAGTTTTGTGTTTTTTTTCTTCTCCTCCTGAGCCATGAACGCATCATAGAGACGACAGACAAGGACTGAGAAACTCTGCTGGAGGAGATCCAAGAGGAAAAAAAAAAAAAGAAGCTGAATAACTGCTCTTTTCTTCTTCTTCTTTTTGTTGTTGTTTCTGGGCTGAGATACTGCTGCTCTGGGCTGAAGGCGAAGAATCAGAGGATGGCAGAGCTCAGGAGGAGATGAGCAGAGGAGGTTTGTGTGAGGAACCAGAGAGCTGCACAACTCTTTTGTCCTGAGCCTTGCACACTTGGACTGGAGCTGACAATGAAGATGAGCTTGGTAAATATCTCCTCGCACTCCTTGTCCGTGTCTTTTGTGCTAGTTTAGTTTAAATCCTCACAGGGGGAGCTGGCAGACTTTAAAAAAAAAAAAGAAAGAAAAAAAAAGAGAGAGAGAGAGGGAGAGCTATCTCGGCTCAGACAGAGTTTGCATGGAAAAACGCGTACTTTCGGCCACATTTTACGCACGGTATCCACGTAAAGTTTGCAGCGTTACATCTCCGCTCAATGAAACTAGGAAAACGTCCAGACTTTGTGCAAGTTTATGTAGGTTTGCAGACGCTCCTTGAGGGTTTCGCATTTGAGGTTGCCGGTGTTTTGCATACGGGGCCGGCTGCCAACTGTCTGGGTCAGAGTGGCCAAGTAGGTAGCGCTGTCTGTCTGTCTGGAGCCGCTGGAGCTCCACAGCTGAGGAAACACATAATCGTCCCGCAGTCCGCTCACTTTCAGTCCTCCTATCACCTGACGTCTGTTTATAGTCCTTCTAGTTTGCACATGCTGCCGAAAAGCGCGTCACCGAGCAAGAAAAAAGAAAAAAAAAAACCCCAACAATCTGCACGAATGATATCATGCCGACCGTTCTGCAGGAGCTCAGATTTATGCGTCCTCCTCTCAGCGCGGTTTTTACACGTCAGTTACACCGCACAGCCTCGGTTCTGTCACCGAATTAGTCATTAAACTGTCGTCGGTGTTTAATTAACGAGGGACAGAAATATGTGTGTTGTTCCTGGAAACCCCTGTTGAAGAACGTGTTCAGGTTAAATAATGACATGATCAAACTCTCAACCTGAGCTCAGGCATGTGCAGCTTGGAGTTTTCATTCATTTACCACCGACACCACCACAGAGCTGCAGCCACCGACTCGTTTATTGAAGCTGCAACAGTTAGTCGATTAACTGATTCAACAGAGATGTGACAAGCTTCTGCAGCTTGTCTTTGGTTTAACTCAATATGAAGTCAACTGCAAGTAACAATTTATCCCTTTTCAGGACTTTGATGCTGCCATATGTAGAAGGTCTTTCAGGGTCCCCAAGAAAGAATATGTGCAAAATATTTGTTGGTATTCATTATAGACTTTATATTATGTTAAATACATTTTCTGATAAGTTGATGTATTTTGGGTTCCAAATGCATGACAAATGTTTCTCTTGATATATATAAAGCAAACAAACAAACAAACAAACAAAAAAACTGTACCTGTCACCTAGACCAAATGGCCCGAGGTCCAAAAGACCCCAAAGGTCCTGAACAGGGTTGAAGTTTAAAGTACTGTAAGAGAATTGTTAAAAGTTCAAATGATGCTTCTGGGGGGCTCCTACATCCCAAAACTAAAACCAAAAGTTATCAAGATGCATCTTTTGATAGTAAAATCCAAAAAGCGTTAAGTTAAAACTAATTTGATACGTGAGAGCATCACTTAATTGATCAACAATCAGTTATAAAAAGGTCGTATTTGACAACTGATATGCAAAAATACCAAAACTTTCAACTTCTTTCAAATATATAATGATTTTCTGTGCAGCTAAAGGTTATTTTCATGATTTCTAATCTGTCGAAAAGTGTCTTGCTTTCTCCACAACTCAAAGATTTTTACTTTATTGTCATAAAGGAAAGAAACCATTTTAATTTAGAGTTTTTTTCTTTAAAAATTACTGAAATTGATGAATCTATTATTAGTTGTCAATTACTTTATCAGCTGGCATCTGAAGGATTCATTGATTAGTTGGTGTGGCTCCAAACTCAGCATCTTTTTTTTTCTATTTTATGACATTTAATTGGCACAATGATTGATTAAGCAGACTGGTCAGTTATTGCAGTCATACTCATGTATATTTGTGTTATCATTTATTTTGTAAAAATATCAGAAAGTAGTGAAAAAACAGTCCAATAGAGCCTTTGGAATGTCTTGTTTTGTCCGACCAGCTGTCAAAAAAACAGCAAAAGAGCAGCAAATGACATTTAGGAAGCCGCAAACAGAGAATTCGTGCTTTAAGACGTGAATTAAACCATTAAATAATTACTGGAAAAGCAGCTGATCAGACTGTGATCCTTCTCGAGCGATAACCTCTGCTTGATTTCCTCCACAGGAATGCAGATGGATCGGTCAAGACAAGTTTCCAATATAGAGCTTGGTGTTTGGAGTTACACCTGACCCTGACTGTGTCTGATGGATTACAGTGTTTTCTTCGAGCTGCTGACATGAATCCAGAGGCCACTGAGATGTGGAAGCGCTTGCCTTCAGGAGAAATCTGAGACCTGGACGAGCCTTGGAGCGTTTAAAGTGAAGGAGTCGAACCATGGACTTGTTATGGTGTGGCATCGGACTGATCGCGTGCTGTTAACCCGCCTGTAGCGCCCTCTGCCCCCACCCCATGTCACATCTTTCCCTGAATTATGGAAATTTTGTGGAAGACGCTGACTTGGACACTGAGCCTGGTGGTGATGGCTGCTTCCGAATTTCAGAGCGTCAACAGACTTTCGCACAACTCCCAAGGTATGAAGGTGACAGGTGGATAGGAAGTGTAGCCTCTGTTATAGCCATGAGTGGGTTTGTTATCTTCTCAATTCTTTTCTCTTTTCCCCTGTAAAAGAGGAGTTCCTTTCCTACCTGCAGCACTACCAGCTGACTGTCCCGGTGCGAGTGGATGAGAACGGAGACTTCCTGAGCTACACTGTGAAGCACCACCGGCCGGGCCGACGGAGACGGGGGGCGGTGGACCCCGTAATGGAACCCCAGCCAGTGTTAGACCCTCCGGAGCCCCGGCTGTTCTACAGACTGTCAGCCTACGGAAAGCACTTTCACTTAAACCTGACTCTCAGCCCCCACCTGGTGTCCAAACATTTCACAGTGGAGTACTGGGGCAAAGAGGGGCTGGAGTGGCGCCATAACATGGTAGATAACTGTCACTATGTGGGATTCTTGCAAAATCAGCACAGCACGACCAGAGTGGCACTCAGCAACTGCAAGGGCCTGGTGAGTACACAGTGGCTGTTTTATTTTTATTCCAAGAATGGATGTAGGTCCATGTAGGCACATTAACCCTTGGAACCCCTGAACCCACCAGTGAGTTTAAAAAGCATGTTTCTTTTTAAATCGCTAAAATGACATCAATTATTCAGAAACCGTAAAAACAGAAAGAATTGTCAGATTTTTAACTTCCCAACAGTTCTTGAACTGCTCATCGGTGACATTAGCTTCTATTAAAATTAACCAAATGCAAGACATAAAAATCATATTTCCTCTAAAGTACGTTTTCACATCTTGTTTAAACATTCACCAAAACTAAACTGTTTGCTCACACCAGATTCTGTAAAAAAAAAAAAAATTGGTGCTCCTTAACACAACCGTGAAGCCATCAGTGACACAGCTGTGAGCAGCAGTCACGAGACAAAAATTCAGGTCAGATCATGTGATAAAATTACTAAAAATAAATAATTCACAGTGTTCAGATTCTGTAAATAACAAAAGCTCATTTAGCTCCTATAAGACAGGAGTGACTCAACAAAAATTCAGGGGTTTTCAGCTGAACTGCAGGCTGTGTTTGCACAAAGCAGAGAAGAGACAAGTGTGGGAACAAACAAGAGAGATTAAGAGCAAACATAAATGTACTCGATCAGTAAAGTAAATGCAGAGTGGCTGGAAAACAGGAGCAACTTATGGCCAAATTGTTGTAAGATACATTCAGTTTGATGAAATATCTTTCTAGAGTTGTGCATAGCAGTGTGAAAAACATGTGTAGAGGTTGTGAAAATTTAAATAGTAAAATATCTATAGTTTTCAGAGCCAGAATTAGTTACACCTATTGGCACTTGGAAAAATGTAGTACATGTTGATTTCAGGTTTTGTCAATTTTTTTGAAATCAACATTCAACGAAATTCTAATTCAGATTTTATATTTGTATTTTTAAAAAAAAGAAGATTTGTGCCGCTATAAATTTACATTTTCTTTTGTTCTCTCTTCTTCCAACTGGTTGTGCTGTTTCCACAGAGGTGTTGAACTTCATGTTTCAGTTAAAATGACCTCACAGTGAGTAAAAATGTGCAGGAGTAAAATAGGCTCAGAGTACAAAGCGTGGGATTTCGAGAAGATTTTGAGTGTCAGACACTTAATTTATGGCAATCTGATGAAATTTCACACACCAGTTTGTACATTTCCACATGCATCTGTATTGCTGCATCTGTCAGTAATGTTATAATACACATATATATATATATATACAAATATATGTGTACTAAATATTGAAGGGAACATATTCTCTGCGTCCCCCCTAAAATCTACGCCTATGACTTTAAGTGACCGGTTACTGCTACACTGCTCACCTCAAATAAACCCTCATATTGATGCTAACATATATCTGCCTTGTGCTGCTCTCATTGCAGCCAGGCTCTCAGAGGATTAGACCAATTGTAGTTTGCTTAACAGAAACTTGGCTTCTTTCCATTTGGCACACTGAGCCTGCAGGCGGCTTGGAGTGAGGTGATGCACATGTAGAAAAATCACATCATCTCAGTGATCTGTTAGTGATAAGCATCGCAGCTTTTCTTCCCACTGAAGCGCTGAATATCACACTTCAGTAGTTGAGATCACATTTCTTAAGTTGATCTTTAAATACCATAGATTGTCCTCCACGTGTAGTTTTAAAGCGCTTTAAAACAAAACCAAACAGCACTAACAAGGCAGATAATTATCCCGTCTATGCTTTTATTCCTCCGGCTTTAAACCACAGACTGTCCAGCGTCTCTTTGCTAATCAAGGAATTGGAAGAAATTTTAATAGCTGCTATCCCTCCTTGCTTCAGAATAACTCTAAAAAAGGCCCTGCTTCTTATTGGCAAATGTAATCATGTGGAGAAAACATGTAGCCAAATGTGTTGGCAGGGCCTGCACTGAGTATCATAAAATTGAATTAGTGTTTGCCCTTTTTTCTTACAGCACCAAAAATGGACAAAACTGTGCCTGCGCTTTAATGTAATCAGCTGTCTGGACAGTTTGAGATCTTGACATCACACACTATTAAAACCCTAAATCCAAAATGTTGCTGTATGCTAGTGTGATATGTGGTTAATTGCTTTTATTGTGGGTTTTACAGAGCCAGGCCAGTGTTTCCTATAAACCCAATCTGAAGAACTTTTCCCGGTTTATGCCCCAGAGGAGGGGTATTAAAGGGGAGAGAAGAATGTTTTAATGTTAGTCTTGATGTCATTGATTGTTTGGGGTTCTGAAATCTGACTGCAGATTAGTGGCTAATGGATTGTATGTGTAAAAACATGTCCTTCATCAGGAAGAAGAGGTCACATGAGGGAACGTATTAGTTCAGATTCAGATTCGCTTTATTGTCATTGCAACGGGTACAATGAAAAGTAAGGTTCAGGCCTTTCAAAAAAAAGAAGAAGTTGTAATTAGTTGTTTCAAGGGCCACTTAAACTAATTAGTATGGCACTTCCACAAAGTTGGAAAGAAACACAATATTGAAAAACTGATTACATTTGATCCAGCAATGAATGAAATAGTCTATGGTTGCAACGTAAAGATACAGCATGAGCTGTAAGGCCAGTGATCTATTTCCTGCAAGGGAAGTCTGAGTAATGTGCATTTAGTCATCTATCCTAATCCACCTCTCTGCAGATATTGTGTGCAACCCACAGTTTGTGTCTACACAAACAAGGGCTGTAATGTGCACGTGTGAAATATGTCGACACGAAAACACAAAGACACACAAATGAATGGAATGGAGTCCTTCAAGCAGAGCAGAGCATGGTATAATTTAGAACAACTGCACGTCTGTGGTGTCTGCAGCTGTCCATGTGGGCATCCACGAGGGAGTACAATCCCAATTTAAGGTAGCTAGCAATGTACCTGCTCAACTCGGCCTTTGACTGACTGGTTTCAGAATTCATCAGTGACTCGAGCTGTTTCTGTTAGGTCCCTCCACCATCTGTCCTTAAACATCTTTTCTCTGTAACAAGCAGATTTATAAGGCTTACACGTCAAAATCAAAAAGCAACCTCTGAGGCTGCAAAATGAAGCCAAAAACCGCAGCACCTTAAGTGGCCACTTGAGGTTGGTTCTGGAGTACATAATTAACCAATCCTCATTATGGACTGTATGTAAAAGATGGACAAATGCTTCAGGTGTGAAAAGTGAAGCTAATGCAGACGTGCCTTAAACCTGCATTCTGTGTAACAGCCAGCAGGGGGCGACTCCACTGGTTGCAAAAAGATCTCAGATTGTATAGAAGTGAAAATGAGAAAATGACCCTACTTTTCTCACTTGATCTGTTACCTCAGTAAACATTTTCCTCATAAGTTTGTGACCTGTATTGCTAGTTTAAAGACTTTTTAAGTACAGAATGATGCTTGTTTTGTAAATAATGGCCCCATTTAGAAGGAAACAGATGATAAAGCAGGTTATGTTTTAGGGCATGGCTGCCTTGTGATTGACAGGTTGCTCGTGTTCGGGTGTAAGTGATGTGCATTGTGCCCTTGGGTTCTCCAGTCGGGTTCACAGCTTGTCTGGTTTCAAAAGATCCTGATGGAAACGTGCAAATTCCAAACGCAAGACTTCAAAATAGGTGTTCACAAACCTGTGGGTGACGTCACCACAGTCTTTAGCTAAACACTTTAAACTTGCGCAAACTCGTCTTTACTTTCGGTCTCAACACACAGTCACGAGTAAACTGAAACTCAGGTTAAAAATAGGTGGACTGCCCCTTTAATAAAATGAATGCATACAGAGCAGTCTGGTACACCCAACATGTAAGTTGTTTTTTCCTGTGTCTTTGTTAATATTATGCATTCAGCATCAGTGTTTACTTTTTGTAATCTGTTTTTTCACTGATTTTTTTCTCCTCTAACAAGCATGGTGTTATAACAACAGAGGAAGAACAGTATTTAATAGAGCCTTTAAAGAACATATCCTCCGCCACCTCCAGTGAATGGAACCTGGAAGAAGCACAGCAACATGTTATTTATAAAATGTCTGCCATTCCCTCACCACAAGAGCATAGCCAGGAGTTCAGCTGTGGCATTTCAGGTTGGTGAACCTCCATCTGGGTTGTGTGGGTGGAACTGACGTAAAGGAATAACTATACATAGCAGGTTAGAGGAAGTGCTGGTTTGGTTCTAGGCCCATGTTCTGGTGGACATGACCGGGCCTCTTGTGTGCTATAGTTGCTCCTGGCCTGGACACCTTTCAACCTGTAAGAGAACGTTTCGCTCCAGCTTTCATAAAAGGCCCCTCAGTGCATTAAGACTGCTTGACTCTGACTTTTATAGAAGCACAAATCCTATTTATGAAACCAACAATCATGTTCAGATTCTGAAATTCAGACAACTTAGTTCCACCGAATGCTGTGTCTGCTGAGATATGACGAATTGGAAAAAAGAACCAGGTGGATATTTAGGTATTTGGGCCAAGGTCTTATAAGAAACAGCGGAGGCTGTCATCGCCAGGAAGCTAGCATGCCCCAACATGTACCATCTTATAGCTTTTTTCCCAGAGCATCTGGGTCATAAAACAAAGGCTTTAGCTACAAGGTTCAAAGGGGCAGACTCTATCTGCATCCATCATACACAAACCAGCTCTCTCTCAAACCGAAAATGTGTCGTAATTCTGCTGTGGACTGTTATTGAATAATCTGATAACGTGTCTTTGTCTGCTTGTCATCCTCAGACCTCATTAAAAGCAGTGCACCTTGCCAGATTAGCACACCTCAACCTGTCCACTCGTCCTCTGTCCCCCAAAACGACATTGAGCAGTCAAACAGCACCCACAGACAGAGGCGCTCCGTCAGCACCGAGCGCTTCGTCGAGACCCTCGTGGTCGCTGATAAAATGATGGTCGGCTACCACGGACGCAAAGACATCGAGCACTACATCTTGTCTGTGATGAATATTGTAAGTTTGATCCTACTTTTTGCTCATGTTGGTTATCGTGCTGCTGATGCCTCTAATCGTACATGTTCTGTTTGTCGATCTGTACTGTTGTCTGACTTTGTGTCTTTTCTTCTTTTCTGGAGGTCAGGTTGCCAAACTTTACCGTGATGCCAGTCTAGGAAATGTTGTGAACATTATTGTGACCCGGCTGATTGTTCTGACAGAAGATCAGGTGAGAAAATGTTTTTTTTTTTTTTCACTCCAAACCCTCCTTAGTGTAAAAGTTTTCAGCCTCTTTTTTTAGTATCTGTGCCCTCACCTGTAGTGAGTGTATAACTGATGCTCTTGGCGTGAGTGAGCTGCAGTATTTTATGTGACTGCTTTGGCTGAAGGGGGAGAGAGAGGAGAGACTATTCACCATATGGCCACCACTTCAGATGAAAGATGTACTCAGGCAGCTTCCCTCAGGGAGCCTCGATCGAGGATTTTTACATGCACTGTACATCTGTATGTATGTGTGATGGGAGAAACAGAGTGTCCTCCTGCCATCTGTTTTTTCTAAAAGGGTCATAGCAGCTCTTTATGTAGCATCAGGTCCAAAAATCAAGTTTGCATGTAAAGTGGAGTCAAACTTTGATCCATGTGCTGGATAAACAGAACACACATTTTGTAGTGAAAGTGAATCACTGGCATGTTTGTTGAGTCGTTCTGTATTTTCCTATAATTGCTCAGTGGGCAAGCTGGAACCAGCTCTGCATGATTGCTCTTTACATTCATGGAAGTAGATGCATTTTGCAGACTCACTACAAACCTCCCCAATTGCCCTACTTTTTATTTCTAACAGCGCAAGTCCTCGATCTACTCCCCCCTCTACTACTCATCTATCTCCTCCGGCTATAAATGGTTTTACCTTTACTACAACTGCATCTACTCTTAAATCAAATAGAAAACCTTTTTCTCTTCCAAACTCTGGTCCTCTAACCTCCCTCTGATCCCAGTACAGCACTCCTCCAAATAATTCATCCAGATAATCGTTCTACTCTGGCTCTGTGGTTAGCACTGTCAACACAGGACAATAAGTTCAATGCTGTTTTTTTTTTTTTTTTAGTTTTTGAGAGATTTTTGTTGTTGTTTTTGCACACATGCCATTATTGGTCATCAGACTCCTGAGACACTGAAGCAGGAACCTTCTGGGTCTACAGTACGAAATGAGTCTTAACCGCTTGGTTACTCTCCTGAGGCAATATCACAACTGCTTTCATTCAGTCTAAACCTATTTTTCATGTAAAGTATATTTTCAGGGTGTATGGTGCAGTATTACATTCATACATACTTACATACAACAACACGATTCAATTTGACACAACACAAATTAGACACAGCCTTATCGGATTCAGTGCGATACAGCAGGACATGACATAGCATAATTTGATATACGGTTCAATGCAATGTGATTTTATGTGACATAATATGATGTGGTTCAACACAGCAACACAATATGGTACAAAATAACACAATATGATGCAACATGATGCAACACAATACAACATGATTCGATATGATAAAAATGATGCAGTGTATTACTATACAATAGGCATGATCGAGTGCTACACAATGAAACATGATACAACCCAACATATGACATGATTCAAAGTTGTGCAATACAATACAATACAATACAATACAATACAATACAATACAATACAACATGATGCGATACAGTACAACATGACGTATAATGGCACACCATGATTACGATGCGATACGATAACATACAACATGTGATGACATTCTGCAGCATGACACAGCATGATGCAATACAAGACATTAAGATATAAGACACAACACAATTGGACACGTCATTTTACAACACAATATGATACGACATGATACGAAATGTCAAAATATAATGTAATGCGATATAAAACGATACCACAGGGTGTGATGCACAACGATACAATAAAATACAATGCAGTAAAATACAAAATATAATGCTGCACCATGACCACAATATGATATGATAAAAAACAACATGATACAACACAATATGATGCACATTGATCCAATGAGACACACAATACTTTGTGTCACGGCACACCAAAATAATGCATAATGTAATTAGATATGACATACAACAACATGACATGATGCAGTGCAACATAAGACAAAGACATGACACTATATGACACAATACAATATGACACGACACTATATAACAGAATTTGATTTACAGTGATACACCAAGATACGATACAGTACAATACTTTGTGTCAAAATATGGCACAATGCAACACAATATGACATGATACAAAATGAGTCAACATAATACAGTATGAAAAACACAACATGATACACAATGATACAAAAAGATATAATACAGTAAAATATGAGGCATCACAGCATCAAAACTGATACCGTTCAATGTGATGCAATATTACATGACACAATACGATGCAGCACGATATGACATGTGACACAATACAATACAACACAACAGTATACAACTAAATATGGCATGACACAATACAATATCAAACGATACATAATAATACAGTATAAAGTGATACAACACGACATGATACAAAATTATACAATAAGATATAATGCATCACAGTATCACATGTCATGACATGTAGCAACATGAACCAGTACTGCACAATGTTATATTGTAATGTACTGAAACTGTTTTGTGCTCTGTTGGTTGGTTTTGTTTTGTTCTGCTGCATCACGTTGCACTCTTGTGTGTCTCCTCCAGCCGAACCTGGAAATTAATCACCATGCTGACAAGTCTCTGGACAGTTTCTGTAAGTGGCAGAAGTCCATCCTGTCTCATCACAGCGATGGAAACAGTATTCCAGAGAATGGGATGGCTCACCACGACAATGCCGTCCTAATCACCCGGTGAGTCTGGCTGCTCACACGCTACTGCAATGATCCAGTCTGGATGCTTCAAAGAGTCATTTTTCCAGTTGTTACTTTCATTGTAAGTGGTGCTAATTTTCTCATTTTGAGCAAATAGGTTGCAGGTTATTTTCTGTGCAGCAGCAGCAGCAGTACTGTAAGCTTTAGTTCTTGTGCACACACTGTACCTGCAACTGAGAATAAAGCCCTCAGTTCTGAAAATAAAATGTGCTGTTACAGACAGTGCTGTACCTGTCACCCTGCAATTTATGTCAAGGGTGTTACCATAAAACAGCAAAACGCTGTCATTACCTGGAATAGGCTTCATTGTTGCCAGAACTGTTTTGGCCACATAACCTAGCAACTAAAGTGTAGCTATGTTCCCCCCACTGGTTATGTCTAGCGAGAGGATGGCGTTCTGTGATTGACATGGGCTAAAGCCAAGACTTCTGACTCTCTGGGCTCTGTACAAAACAGCCTTTCTATCATTAGTGTGCTCTTGCTTGTTGTCTGTCAGTTGACATTCTCCAGCTCCTTTGGCTTTTGTTTTTATTATTGGTTTTAGCTTCACTCAGTGAGAACCAGAACCAAAGACTTCTTGGGAGAGTCTGCATGCAGTGGTTATGGGGGTTTATCTTTCTGGCATCTCTTTTCAGCAGAAAGATGAGACATGTGATAGCCTGTTTTTATTGTCTTTAGACACCGAACACCTTATGAAACTGGCTCGTAACTCACAAATTTGTACAAGCAATCATCGGTGTTGCCCCCTATAGCTTCTGATACTAAAATCCTTCCGTTTGAGTAGTTAAAGGTGCATGAATCAATCATGGGCGAAGGTTTTATTTTAGATATTGGGGGGGACACATTAAGTGAGGTGTCCAGGGATCATTTTCTGCACCAATTTAGAGTCATTAAGTTTTTATTCATATTGTAGGAGAAAATTAAAATTAAAGTCATCTTCTTCCATCTGATTTGGACATTATCAGACCAATAAGTGACCCATAGTAGATCATTTCCATTAACATACACACATATGGGCCAGTAGGAAACACCACCAGCATCTACTAATAGCCAATAATGTTGGCAGCCTTTTGTGGTCATGTCTCTGTTGGAGTTTTTATATGCACCGGACAAAATGGAGCTTTGTAACACGAGTTAAACATAGTGGCAGGGTGTATTTTAACCAAAACCATGGTTATTTTCTCAAACCTAGTAGTTTTGGTGCCCAAACAGTGAATGAAAAACAGCAAGTGACATTTTTGAAAGTCAAAATGATCTTCAAGGAAGTTAAACTCAAGTCCTCTGGCTGAAAGGCTGCAGCTTGAAACATTTCCTGCATCCTCTAAGGACAGACTTTATTCCTCCCTGTAAGTGCTAAATTGCAGATACGTTGCCATTAATGCCTTTGAACGCTGAACTTGGAATTGGAAACAGCACAACCATGGCTAGAAGTAGAAGAGAACTCAAAATGTCTTCTTTATGACAACATATAATGCCATAAATCATAAAAATGTAATGAATTGGCAAAAAATAACGTGCAAGAAAAATGATGACTCTACAGACTTCAGATGTTTTACTACTTTTTTATTTAGATTTGGTTGATACTGTGCCTACTGTGCCTACTAGACAATGAAGAGAATCCCTACTGCCCATATATATGGGAATGATGTGCACCGGTAGCACTTGTTGAATAGTACAAATTGGGTGCTGTGCCCTTAATGTGTTTGTTAATTCACAAGTGGTAGTCTTCTAAATATTTAGGGGGATGTAAAACCTGCGTCTTCTCTCTGTACCAACTTTTGAGTATTTGATGGATTAGAAACTCTGAAACAAGCTGAGAGACCCAACAATCTGACATATAATATCCCTCCCAAGCTGTTATAGGTAATGCTCCCTGCAAATATTGGCTTACGTACACATCGATAAATTTAGGACTTGATTGCTGCTAACTAAACCACGCTATAAGTGTGTTCTAAGACCAAAAAACTCTAAGAAATACGACTGCTGCTTCATGCATCAGTTCCTGGGTCGGATCGCCTTGTTTGGAATGTGGCTTGTCACGTTCAAAAAAAGACGCAGAGGAAAATTTTGGGGAAATAAATCAAAACAAACAGACGTCCCAAACGAGGTCACGATTGTACCTGGCCGGTTTGAAACTGCTCTGCTAGAAAGGAAAGAGAGAGAGAGGAGAAGGAAGGAAGAGGAATTTATGGGGAGACAAGAGGGTGGAAGGAGGGAGGGAGGGAGAGAAGGGAAGGGGAATGAAATTAAATTTGCAGTGCCCTTGGTTTTAATAGATTAAAAGCTTTAGCAATGATTGGATCCTTCATTTGAAATGTATGATGTGTTCTTAAAGCACTGCGGCTCTATTGGATTACCTGTATGTGTATTATAGGGGTTAACAGTAGGGACGCAGCGTGACGTTCTGTGGATTCACATTCATGTCTGAGCAGCACTGTGTGTTAGTTAACCCTCTGAACCCCAGACTCTGCCAACAGGTTTGAAAAACATGTTAGTTTTATATATATATATGAAAAAGAACAGCTAAAATTAATTAAACCATTGATCAGAGCCAGAAACCAAAAGATTTCCAACTTTTTAATGGTCCTTGAACTACTCATCTGTGACACGCAGTTCAGTCGGAAAACTTAACCAAATCTAACCTTAAAAAACAAAATTGCAAAACATAAACTATTTGCAGTAACCAGATTCTGTAAAAAACACAACTAATACAACTAATAGGCCTTTAGTGACTCTGCAACGTGACAAAAATTCTGGGCCTTGTCGGTTGAACTGCAGGCTGTGTTTACACAAAATGAGAAAGAGAAGACAAGAAAAAAAAAGCAAATTGGAGAGATTGAGAGCAAAATAAAACATACTTGATCTATAAAATAAATGCAGTATGGTTCAAAAGCAGTATACAGAGAAGCAACTTGTCGAAAGATACATTCTGCATGGTGAAATATCTTTCTACATCTGAAGCTTTTTTCAATTTCTGTAAAATACATCATTTAAAAAGCGCAACTCTTCCTTTTTTTTTTTTTTTTAAATGATTATCTTTGGCATTCTAAGTGGGTCACACTGTACAGAAGACATTTTTGGGTTCTCCCTACCTCTAGTCGTGGTTGTGCTGTTTCCATAGAGATGCAGGACTTTTTCTTACAGCGAAAAATGAGCCCACAGTGAGGAAAACTGTGCAAAATAACGCACAGAAACTGCCTGGGGTTCAGAGGGTTAAGTGACATTTTGCAGAAAGCTATGGATGGAGGAGGGAACCAGGTGTTTTCTAGAACCAAACCTGTCATGACTTCATTACACGCTATTGTTATGCTAACGGCTGAGATTATATCTGGCCAGACTAGGTGATTAAACAGGGAAAGAATGGGGAGGCAAAGAGCCAGTGAAAGAAAAACTGTATAAATCTAAAAAAAAAAAAAAAAAAAGGTTAATTCAATTTCTTTTGGTGTTCTTTCCACTTTTTTTTTTCTAGGTATGACATCTGCACCTACAAGAACAAACCCTGTGGTACTTTAGGTGAGTGGAGTGAAACTTGCTTACCTGTGTTTTCCTGCCAAATTGGTAATCTTATCTGATGTTGACAGTATGAATCTCTGGTTTAGGAGTTCATCCTTCTCTTTTCCCTCCGGAGAGGTTTTCATTTTCACATTCAACATGTCCTCAGACAAACCTTATTTAGGATCCTTCGCAGCCTCCTTTAGAGGAACACCAGACGGCTCCTGTGAGACATAATGAGAAGGATGTTTTCACTTGTGTTATTATAGCTCCTCGACGGCTCGCCTCATGTTGGCTGAGGTCGGGAGCCCTGAACCTGGACAGCCGTGGTCACCTCCTCACATGGCCTCTGGTTTATAAAACTCCTCTTTCTCCGTCCTCCGCCTCTAACCTCAGTTTGTCTAAGGTGTTTACACTTCCACCGGGGGTTGAGAGAGAGAAAGGATAAGGTATGTGAGGGAGACTTGGGTGGGTGGGTGGTGGGGGGGGGAAGAAATGTGGGATAAAGAGGATAGTAGAGGCAGAAAGGAGGAGATGGAGAAGAAGAGGGGGAGTTGAAAAGAAAATGGAAGGGGAAAAGGACAATTACAGGGAGTGTTATAGTATGCAGGAGGCAGATAGAGTTGGTGATATGCAGGCTGTGGTGATTTTGGGGGAGGAAAAAGGACCAGCAAGCAGTGGCAGAAACAGAGAGACAGACCCCCCCCCTCTTTCTCTCTGCAGCCCCTCAGCTCCACCCCAAACCTCCTGCCCACCCAGCCCTCCTCTCTCCATCTTATCTTTGTAAAGGCCCCGCAGGCACCACAGTATATCTTGGAGGTAATATTGTGACTTCAGGGGTGGTTTGACAGATTGACCGCATTCGTCACATTCCCCAGTCGCTTTAATTGCCCTGGCATCTGCTTGGCTTCCTCGTTGTCTCAAACCCCCCACCCCCTCCCACCCCACCCACCCACTCCCTCTCTTCTCCTCTCCTCCCCTCCCTCCCTCTCCTCTTGGGGATCGTGCTCTGGGGTCAGATCGCTGGCCTTTAGGGTCGCCGAGTAATCACGGGGCTGGAGATAATACACAGTCCACCCCGGTGTTAAGAAAACAGCTTGCAGTGCGATGTGTGCGTGTGTGTGTGTGTGTGTGTGTGTGTGTGTTTGTGCTCACGCTCACTTTACTCTCTCTCACACACACACACATTCTTAAACTAATCGTAGAGTAGCCACCCTTCTTCCTTTCCCTCCCTCTCCTCCTTCTTTCTTCACCTTCAGGCTCCCTCCTTCCCTGCAGTAATGGTTTCAGTGGCCTCCTGATTTGCGAGTCTATTCTTGTTTAGCCTCTTAGTAAAGAGGATACAAAAGCTGTGCCACTTTTAGCACCGAGTCGAGGCAGTTCGTGCAAACTATACAGAACAATCTGAAACAGGAGCTGACCGACGAACAATAACTCATGTGTCAAGGCAGGTGTGTCAAGTGTAACAAATCACATTTGCAAAAGTGCAGTGTTTGTGCTTATGAGTCACACTGAGAGTTTAAATGATCAAGCTGAAGGGTCAGTCCATCCAAATTAAAATTTTCTCACCGATCACTTGTTGTCACTCACACCTTCAGTTTTCAGTTATCTGCCAGAAGCTCCAGTTGCAAGCTGTTGATGTTTTCCCTGTTTTATGCACATTACAAACAAGAGCATGAAAAATGTGGGGAAAAAAAGGGATATTACAAAAAAGTTGAATTGATTAAAAATCTAAATGTGAAAAAGGACAATATGCAAGCAGACCCACCAATGAAATTCTATTTCTTTGCTGCTGGAGAGGTCGAAAATTGCAGCAAATCCATGTGTACCTACGAGTGCTTTCCTTTAATAGTGTCCAACCTGAGATTTATTTCCTGCTTTTTTCAAATTTTCTGGAAACTTGTTCAAAATTTTTGAAGAACCTTGTTGATAAAGGTTGTCTCCTGATTTGTGAGTCTGGTCTTGTTTAGCCTTTAATAAAGAAGATACAAAGGCTTAAACACTTTTGGGTAAAAGGACTGATGCAAACTATACAGGAAAATCTGAAGGATATGTCAGTATCACATTTTGCAAAAAAAAAAAAAGAAGTTTTTGTGCATCCAAGCTCCACTGAGAGTTTGAATGTTTGAAACCAAGTTGAAGGCTCAGTCCATCCAAAGAACCAGGTCCACATTTTTTTCACTGACAGCATGTTGTTTGTACCGACACATTCAGCCTTCAGATATCTGCTTCCTCATCAGTAGAAAGAGGCTCCAGTGGCGAGCTGCTGACTGTAAATGTGTTTACATCGGCCTGATTTTGTGCACATTGCAAAAAAAATATGGCAAAAAAAGTTTCGTTGATAAAAACCAATCAGACAAGGTGTGATGGAAACAGATGTAGCAGATGGATTACGATTCTTTGTCTCTGCTGGAGAGGTGAAGAATAGCAGTCGATGAAAACATTACATTTACATGGACCACAGACCAGTCTATGGTTTCTGAATGACTGATGTGGACTTTGAATGTAGACAGCAGACGCACACAGACATATTCATACCACAATTAGTACTCATCTGTATGCTACAAATGGTCGCACTGCTGTTCGAATCGAACACAGAAGAACTTATCTGCCCTCACCTCTTAACAAACACTTTTTCGAAGCACCATTTGAGTCCTGAGCAGTCTGTTTGTAGAACGAACAATCTGTGTGATTACAAATTGTGGGCTGCTACAGAGGGTCTGCGTGGATCCTGGTGGCCTTGAGCATATGATAACATTTACATCATACCCATGACCCTTGCAGACACGGAAAGCATGAGGTCACTTGAGAGCTGCCTGCTCTCGTGCCAACACCATGCCAACATGGTGGCCCGTTTGGAAATTTTCTCTTATGAAAATATTTCACTGAAATATGTAGTTAGTTTAAAAGTAGTTTCCAGAGGTTGCAGCTAGCACCCCATATTTGCAAATTGCCTCGATCTCAACTTTATGCAGATAAAGAGTGGGAAACATGACACCTCCTCTCTTAAGATGCATGAAAGGCTGCTTCCATAGACAATAAGTAAGAAGTGTTGACGTGATGGATCCTGTGGACACATATCATTATAGCAACAAAGTATAATCAAGGCTGAGTGAAATGAATAATGGCGCTCTTTTCATCATGTCATCTTGAATATATATATATATATATGTCTATATTATAGTCTTAAGGCCCCTTTTTTGCATTTCATTTTTTTTTGATATTTCATCTATTAAATCTTTCATTCTACTGAACAGAATGCCGAAGTTTTGAAACTGAAACCAAAACTGTTTATGTGGCTCAATACAACAAGAAATGAATGAGCAGATGTGTTCTTTTGTGAATTGTGTGAACTGAACCTTTACACATTATTGCACACGCACACACACACACACACACATGTACGCACGCACGCACGCACGCACGCACACACACACGCACACACACACACTTACAAGCAGACAGACACACCTGCTTTGCACTGTCATCCGATCCACTCTCCAGTCACCTGTAGATGTAATCTGTGAAGAATTGCCTGCAGTCTCCCTATCTGACCTGTCAGGCTTTAGGAAAAAAGGACCTGCGACACCTGGATTGTGGAGCGGTTTTAGCTTTAAACACCCTCTCCTCTCTCTTTTCCCTCGTTCTCCAACTCCGGTTTTGAAATGAGGAAAACATTGATATTTCCTGACAGGTTTCTGGTGGGGCATGGTGTTGGTGAGGGACCTCTTATATTCCCTTCTTTGGCTCATGTTGTAGGCGATCCCTTGTTACATGAATTGAAATGTATAAATCTAACCTGTGTCTAGACATTTTCCAGCAGTCGCTGTAGTTTGCAAGAAATAAAGAAAGAGGTGTCTGAACTGGTGATGCTAAACTCATCTCTCTCTGGTGAACCTAGAGCAGTAACTAACTCAGACTGTCTTTCAACACCGCTGTAAACAGAAGATCATATGTGTGGAATCCCAATTTTATGACTCCTGAGAACGCTGCGCCTTGACCCTGTGTTTGTATGTTTGTCTGGCTTATGTGTGACTGTGTGTGTGTGTGTAGGTTTGGCCTCAGTGGCTGGAATGTGCGAGCCGGAGAGAAGCTGCAGCATCAATGAAGACATCGGCCTCGGTTCTGCTTTCACCATTGCCCACGAGATCGGCCACAAGTGAGTTTTAAGACTTTTAGGATCCTAATATAAAATATAAAATGTGACATTGCTCGCTGATGCAAATTGCAGAGGTGGGACAGAGTCAGAGGCCTCAAACTGATTTAAGTACGAGTGATTTAAGCAGTTGCTTAGAGAATTGTAGTATGTGACAGTGTAACACTATCTGCTATATAATATTTTTCATCCATTCCAGTGATGGTCATGTGATCTAAGTATACTAAAGTTGCCTTTGGAAGATGTATTTTGCCAATGAACTTTATTTCCAGGACATCACTTCTGTAACATCAGCCAGCAACTGATGGATCTCCTGACACTGCTATTATCAGCCTGCTGATTTTAAGCAGGACTTGAGGTTTTATGGTGTGAAATCAATTGGAACACCTTGTATAGAAATTTTAGGGTGCTTAAAGTATGCTAATGATCCAATCTCAGAAACACACAACTCCTCGTGAACAGGTGGTCTCATCAGGTTGAAACAAAGGCCATGGGTGTGTTAGATACCAATATTACTGTACCATACAGTACACCAGAAAGGCTTGACACATTACAAAAAGCAAGCACGACGTTGTGACATATGTATCACGTTAGCTTGACAAACGTGGTCGGTTCTGTACTATTGTGGGTTTTACTTTCTTTCATAACCCTCGGGCCTAAAGGGAAAACATACTTGCATCATCATGCCATCAAGGACAAACACACAGTTCTGGCTATGAATTACCTGTGAGCTATGTGTTTATACTGAGACGTAAACTTGTTTTTTCTTGTAACATTGGGGTTCATTGCTTTTTCCGTGCTTGTTTGTTTGCCTGCTTCCTGGTTGAACCTGGAAACCCCTGTGTTAAAAGTCACAATACTATAAATTATAGGTAATTACCTCAGACGAAGGCTCAAAAAGGTGGACTTATGGACGGTGTGCAAGAAGGGCTCCAAATATCTGTGGGAGAGCCCTCATGCACAGCCCTAAGCCCTCATGGACTTAGCAGGAATGTGTCTTAAAGTGTGTGGGTCAGTGAGTATGGATTAAATCTAAACCAGGGCCACCCTAAAACTTTGGTTGATGATTAAACACCTGCAAACCAACCAAATTCCCATCAGACTTGGGCCTGAATTGGGCTAATTAGCAAATAATGGCATGCTAACATGTTAAACTAAGATTGTGTAGACATTCTACCTGGTTAACGTCAAGATAGTCGCAAAATGAATAGAAGCAAAAGTCAAGTTGTGTGTTTTTTTTTTTTTTAATTTTGTCAAGTAAAGCCCAAAGAAATCAGACTTGATTCTGACTCAGGACCAGCTGAGTCCACACCTCTACAAATTTTCCCTTTTTTAACTTCATCTTCAAACCTTTTATCACAGTTACAACTGTGTTTTGCTCTTAAACAAACATTTCTTACTACTCGGGTTCACCAGACTTGCGTGTAGCCTCTTTCTCCCCCCTGCAGACGTCTTGAACTGTATCTCCACATATTTCCTCATGCAAATGTCAGTGTCCACATACCTCTGGCTCTCTCCTCCTGAATATAAAGCAAAATAATGATGATGTATTAGTCTACGTATCCCTCTCGAGAGAGTTCAGCAAGATGGCGATTTCCTTTATTATGTCTCATGTCTGCTTCTGTTGTAGGGCAGTTGTAAAAATAGTCTCTGCTTCTAGAGGATGTATAAAAAAAACACACTGCAGCGGGGTTTCGACCGGCCTGATTTATTTCCAGAGTAGGGTAAAATGTCATAAACGCCGGCCTTAGAAAAACAGGTTGAGACTGTGCGATGTGGTTGGGTTTGTTATATACATTAGACCTGATTTGTGCTGCTGGACTGTAAGGAAAAGTAAGCTTTGACATCCTGCTGTAACGTGAGATTTTCTCTCCAATGATATCCAGACAGATAAGGTTTTTTAAAAATGAATTGTTAAAGTGATTTATTTCCAGTGTGGATTTGATATGAAATGAGTTCTTGAGCAGATTTAACAAGAGACCTTGAGGTTGGGAGCAGTTTGGGTTTTGGGTCTCTCTCAGTGGCTGATCTAAAGCCGGCAGTGACTCCCCCTCATGGCCTGCTCAGACCTGCAGCTGCTGATTGACAGCCAGGCATCAGAGTGGTGATTAGAACTTTTTCATTCCTGCCGAGCTCCAGACAGGGTTTGACCCCTGACCCCTCCACACAGCTGTTTCAGAGCCACAGAGCTCGATCTTTACAGCCACTGAGGTAGACATCCTCCAGCCAGAAACCTGGACTGTCCAGCGTCCTCCCATCAAAACTGTGTATTTAACTGCAGATCATTACTCCCAGCTGCGTTAATTCCACTTTTTAATTTGTGTGTTCCAGTTTTGGGATGAACCACGATGGGATTGGGAATTCCTGTGGCACCAAAGGCCACGAGACAGCCAAGTTGATGGCCGCTCATATAACAGCCAACACCAACCCTTTCTCCTGGTCTGCCTGTAGCAAAGACTACATCACCAGCTTTCTCGAGTAAGTGGATGATGGTTGTTCCCCTTGGGACTGTCTGGGTGTGTTTGGATTGTGTGTATGTGTGTGTGCAGGAGTGGAAAAGGTGCATTGCTTGCAGCTGTCTCGCTTTACAACCCGCTGCCACTGGCTGGCCCTTGTGGTGACCCGCTCGGCTGTCTTATTCACAACCATTTCATCGCTGAGACTCCTGCCAGACCTCCTTGTGGCTGTGGATGATAACCGACTGCTTTCCACTCCTGCATCCTCGCACCACAAGGCGGGTGATGTGAGAGCTCATGTGGTCCTCGGTGGCGATGTGCAGGCCAGCTGGCTTCAACCAGTGCTTTGCTGTTTTGTGGAGAGGTCAAAGGAGACAAAAAGTTGGAGCCCACGAATAAATAAAAGCAGAATGCCAGCTTGGCATGGTAACACACTTGTTTCTATTCCTGAGGCCAGACCAAACATCTGGAGTAACTGAATAAACAGATACCTGGCATGTTTCCCTTTTTATTAGATAGGACAGGCAATTAGGGCGCCCCTGAATCTGGAAATTAACTTAACTAATTTAATGCATTGTTCTGATACATTGTTGTGATGTGGCAATTTAAAGAGCCTCTATTATGGGTTTGGGGGTTTCCCCTGTCTGTTAATGTGTTATATAGCTGCTTTTTTGTGCAGATAAAAGGTACAAAGCCCAGACTCCACACCATTTGAGTTACTCTCTCCCAAAGACAACACCGCTTCTTACCCGCCTGAATTCTCTTGTTGTAAGTTCAGGCTATTTTTCTGTTACTTATCAATGTCACCGGACATCTACAGGCGACTGTGGCTCAGGTGGTAGAGCGGTTGTCCTCTGATCATAAGGTTGTTGGTTTGATCCCCCGCCCCTCCACAGCTGAAGTGTCTTTGGGCAAGACACTGAACCTGAAGTTGCTCCCAATGGCAGGTAGCACTATCACATACAGTTCTGTCACCGTTACTGTATGAATGTGTGTGTGAACGGGTGAATGAGAAAACATTGTAAAGCACTTTGAGTGCCGCTAAGGTAGAAAAGCGCTATATAAGTGAAGTCCATTACCATTTACCATGTAGCACATCTGCAAAACTCCTGCCTAACAAGTAGTTTAGCTATATCCCTGTACCCATACATCAGAGTTACTGTACATTAACAACATTGGTTGGGCCTTGGTTGGGCCAGCTGACCAATCAGAACAGACTGGACCTTTCAGGAGGGGATTAGAGAAAGCGCGTTGAGTACCACTAAGGTACTCAAATCATGAACATTGAAACATTTACCACATTTGGGTGATTCCCCAAAATAAAATGATATGATACAAAGCAGTATGATTTGACGCAATGTTATATTCCTTTATTAGTCTCAAAGTTGGGAAATTTTCAGGACAGATTTGTTCGGGCTACAACAATGCAGCTTGATAGCCAAGATCCCAAGATAGCAATAGCAAGAAGCATCAATTAAAAAGCAAGATATGATAAGTCTTTTTTTCTTGCCTTTTCCAGATTTATGCTGACTGTTGGTTATTTCTTGGGATTGTCTTTCATTACCTAAAGTTAATTTCTTAAAAAGTTTTGATACAAACTATGAAAGGCTGAGGAACAGCAACACTATTTGCCTAAAACTGCAGTCAGCTCTGAGGTCCTAAAGGTTTCTGCTACTGTATCGCATCACTGTCTGACAGGTGGTCATAATGCAGAAAGGTTTCCAGTGCAGAAAAGATGAATAAGCCCTTACAGCCTTTGTGTTTAAATTGCAGTGTCAGATCCAACACCTGTTAGATCAAACAGTGATAAGTATTAGTAACTAGACGTGACTACAGCCCTGTGAACCGGCAGCAAATAGAACAATGGAGGGGTTGTTATGTCAACCTATATGGAACATTTTACCTTGGTGATGGTGATGTTAGTAGGAAGGGGACTTCTACATGCTGAGGACACCAAGAGGGCAGAAAAAATGAAAGAGGGTCTACTGGGGTGGTTCTTGCAGTCAGAATACACACAAACGTTCAAGATGCTCTAAAATGGCCCACAAGTTCCTGCAGTGGAAAACAGCCTGGTGTATGGTTCAGCAGGAGTCTGTTAGACTTAAACAGGCTTCATCTGCTACAACAGCTTTGATTCCCTGAATGAACTAGACTTGCAGAAAAGTGGATATATTAACAAAGTCAGACAGAACCGTTTTACATATTTTCTGGACTATTACCTGCCTCAGACGGGGGACAAAAGGTCAGAAACACTTAAATGTAACAGTTATGGGCACTAAACCAAGATTTTCTCGTACAGCCTTCTGCATGCTTGTGCATAATAATGTGCATTTACCTGTGAGAGTTTTTTTTAGGCTGGATGTGACTGGAGTGTGGTGGAAAAGCACAGAAACATAAATATTACTCCTGCTCCAAGTGTTATCTTTTGTTGTACCTTGGATGATAGAACTTAATAATTAAATCAGAGGGGATTGCAAATATCTCAATTAGTACACATTGACACACATTTCACTCCTTAATTCAGCTTAATTTCTTTTCCTTAAGACATTCTTGCATATTTTCATGTCCACCCTTGTGGTGAAATATTGGTTGCAAGTCTGCGGTGTGTGTGTCTGTGTGTGTGTGTGTGTGTGTGTGTGTGTGTGTTTGTGCATTCATGTTTAGTTAGCGAGTCCCTCCAAGAAAGCGGATAATAGCGGCTGTGGTTGTCAGATGATGTTTCCGGCTGAAAGCTGTTAGAGGAGGTTTAGTGAACAGCACTTGTGACAGAGATGACCGTATTAAATGCCAGCTTCCAACTGGGGCACAAAGAGCTGCTTCTCCGTCGCCCCGTTGGGTTTCTGTCAATTTCTGGCTCGAGTATCCGAGGACAACCGAAGCTGCGCTCTAACAAAAAAAAAGAGACAAAGTTGTTTTACTTGGTGTTTAAGCAGAATACACTGTTAATTATCTTCTATTACAAGCCGATTTGTACGAGTTGTTTCTTGCGCTTTTTCCTTTTTATTTTGATTTTTACTGCCTTTAGCTTTCATGTTTCTTACAAAAGGGTTCTGTCTGTAAACTCCAATTATCCTCCCTTTCTCTCCCTCAATCAGAGTTTTGGATATTGCACATGCTTCTCCCTGCCAAGTAAACAACTTTGGCTGTGGTATTGGCCTAGATTCACCGTCTTGGTCAAGCAATATGTGGTGCTTTGTTTGGGTTTTTTAGGAATGGTTTATGAATGCACTCACAGTTCAGTCATAGTTTATTCTCCCCAGTCTGCATGCCAGTTTGTTATAAATGTTAAAAGGCAGGCAGTTAGGGTTTATTAAACTCTCAGAGACCACATACACATACTTGAATTTGATATCAGTCTTGTGTGCCTTATGATAATTGTTAGGTTAGTCTGATTTAATCATGCTGCCGTCTCACCGCTGGTTGGATCCACTCAGGATGGTTAATATCTCCATGAATGACCAGTGTCAGAGTTCAGGGACCGTTGATGTTCTCTCTTATTAGAAGATATTTCCGCACAGCATAATGAATTTGGCTGAATCCACCGGACAGGAAGCCTTTGCGACGATGTCAAATAATAGCCTCTATGTTTAAACTTTGACTATTTTGTCTCTCTCCAAACCAATAAATAGTCCGGCTTGCCCTCAGTGCACAGGGAGTCTGGGGGCCCTCGAGGCTGGTTTGTCTGCCTCTCCCTGTGATGAGAGGGCTCTCCAAGGAACAAGAGTCAAGAAATAGGATTACTCTATTCAGTAACTGAGAATGGGAGGTCGAGAGAAGAAGAAAACCAAGAGAAAGAGGGCAGAGAAACATGAAAGGAAGGTAGAAAGATTTGCTACTGTTGGTCTGGAACGTTGTAATTCTGCTTAAGGTGAGAAACTACAGACAAAAACATTGTTGTTTCAGGCACTGGTCAGTTTTCATATTTTTTGCTTTCTATGTTGCCCCATAACATGTCTTCTTTCACACTAGTGGAAAGAAAACATCCAAAATACACATTTACTTTGTACTTAGTTAGAATTCTTACCCCTAAAAACAGTTTACAATAATAATTAATGCAATTTTGCAAAACATATTGTAATAAGGTTGCTTACTCACCAAACCTTCCTACTTTTTATTCCTATGTAATCGGTATAGGAAGTTTTCAAATTTCTCAATTTTGAGTGTTTACAGTGATGAGCTAAATGACTAGCTAACATTAGCTAAATTAACATAATGTATCCTAGTAATTGCACCCTACGTCGATACTAACAACTCTTAAACACTCATATGCAACAATGTGAAATGTATATTCAGTGTATGATGTAAATGGGGATTTTTTTTAAGCTAAACTATCTTTCATCCAGATAACAACACTCAATCAGCGATTAAACTAAAGTTAGCTTGCATGTGGCTTGCATATATGATTAACTAGCATCACGAAAATTTGCCAAGTATTTTTTGCTAGTCAGAAACTGCAGGATGCACACACATTTCAACTTGATAAGGCAAAATAATGTAAGCTGGGAAATTTTTGGTTATGTTTTGGGTAAAATTTAGTTAAGTAACACAACATTGTTATTTAACTAAAACAACTGTTAATACCTAAAGTAACGTTTTCCAATATGTGACCTGTATAAATGGCTAGCTAGCATCAGTTAAATTAGCATAATATAATATGTAGCTTAATATCTAACTTAACTGATAAATAGCTAATAACACTGATACATATTTCTCAACTGATATTCATAAAAATGTAAATTGTGACTTTTTAAAAGAAATCATCTTTTACATAAATAACAATACTAACAAAAACAACACTAACTTGCTACAATGTGACCTGTGTTGCCTAAGAAGAGTAGACTATGTCATAACGTACAATTGGTATGTCCAACCTGACACTTGATTAGAATGCTTTTTAATGTTTACATAAACGTGTAAGATTTTAAAACACATTACACAAAGCTAACACAACATACCTCAGTTCACAAAATGCTATGCTATTTACATTAGACTAGCTAAATGAATAGCTAGAGTAGCATCAGTTATATTGACATAACTAGATATTTAGTTCTGACGCACTGATATTTTCCCATGTATGTATAGTATATAATAATGTAAAGTAGGAAGTTTTATTTAAATAACATTTTTCAAAAATGACAAAGTTCCTCCAGTTACAAAATATTATGGGAATAACATTGAGGAGGTTAGCATAGTTAGATCTTTTACCTTTATTCGAATCTATACACATACTACTATCCCTAAACCATACCGTTTGTACATAATAAAGGAATACCAACTTTAAATAACAATAATTATAAACAATCATTTTTAATTTCCTAAAATGTTAACCTTTCTCTTTAATGTTGTAAACCTAATTTCGAAAAATAAAGAGTTTGGAACTAGCTTGTAGTCACTAATAACATTGAAAGCCAGAAGCTGCCCAGTCTGATAGACTGAGATAGACCAGACATGTATGGTAGGGCTAAACCATATGCAAATGATATTGCCACTGCGATATGAGTCACAATTTTATTCAGAATGGTAAGTTACCACACTGAATTAGAATGGTATTTTGCTGGAGTCTGAACAATACAAGCACGTTCCCTTACATCTATACAATATGATTTGTATGTTGCAGAATCTCTATAGTCTTTCGATTCTAATTGCATGTTGCTACATGTTGCACCATTATCAAAAACTTGCAGCTCATGCAATGTGAATATTGCACTTGGCCACATTGTGATTTTTAATTAATTGTTCAGCCCTACTTTCGATACAGTCTTGGACTGACTTTGAGGATTGGTTTCGTTGACTCAGTTTTTAGGATGTTTACCTCCATACTGTGGAGATGACTGGAGGTTTTACTCTAAATAAGCTGCAAAAAAGCATTATTAGCCTATTCTGTGGGGATTCTTGAATAATAATTTAGGCTTTTTACAATTGTTTATGGTTCCAAGTCTCTACAACTTCTGAATATTTGTAGAAACTTTTAAAATGGAAATTTCCAGAAACAAAAATGATTATCTCTGAACTTATCTGAACTTTCATGATTTAAAGGCAGAAATCTCAGAAAAAAATATTTCAAAACCTGCCAGAATATATATATATGTATATGTATGTATGTATACAGCATTTAGGGTGAAGCAGTTGTTAAGTTTTCCAAACTTTTAGTGCTCAATCTTCTCCTCTCCTCTTGTATTCTGGGCCCAAGCTGCAATCTGCTCGATCATAAAGTCTAGCACTACGTTATTGTTGTCACCAGGCCCACTTTTCCTTTCGAGGGATGGGAAGCATTCCACTGCATGTTGCAGCTGCCGCAGCTGGAAAGAACGCAGTGTTATAGTAAATAGTCATAGTAATATTTTGCCTGGAGAGAATCCTCTGACTCAGGGAGAAACAGACGAGGTAGAGATTGAAATGAGATATGTCTGTGTTTGTTTATTGGCACTTGGCTTTTGTATGATTGAGTCTCTGGCACACTGTCAAGAAATAACAACAATCAGTTTTCCTTTTAGCAAGTGTCTGTCCTCATGCATGGGAAGAGAAGGCATCCACACAAACATCATTTCAAACTAAAGCAAACAAGCATTTTCACTGTTTTAGCTACTAGAATACAAAGCTGCTTTGTGCGTGCATGTGTTTTCTTTTCTTTGAGTTTTTAGCGAGCCACATATTTCTATTTGACAAAACAGACTAAACATAATCCTAGGCCTGGACGTATGACCCACAGCTCACTCCAGATTTTTCTCTTCCTCTCCCTGCACTGTCATTTTATTGGCTCCTTGGTGGATTTGTTAGGAGCAGCGACATACAGAACAGTGCAGCTTAGAGCCATATAATCAGGGAGGGCCGGTGTTTCTGGGCCCACAGCCTGCCCCCTTTGCCTCCCGGTAAAATGTCTCTGCTTGTGCTTCAACACTCCCTTTGATGAGGAGGCGTTGATGTGTAATATCAACATTAATTACATGTCATTTGAGATCTCTGACAAGCTTCCTACAATGGTAGTTTGGTGGTAAAATTAAACGAGTCAAACAACACCAGCCAAGGTCTTGGAGGGGGGTGACTTTAATTGTCCGATCTTGGCATCTCTAACTCTGCCATTAGCCAAGTGCAGAAAGGTTCCTTTGTGTAAGAAACAATCCTATTGTAGGTTTGTTTTTTTGACAGCTCAGGTCGGGGGACGTGTCTGGACAATGAACCTCTGAAACGAGACTTCCTGTACCCAACAGTGGCCCCGGGGCAGGTGTACGATGCAGACGAGCAGTGTCGCTTCCAGTATGGAGCCTCCTCACGCCAGTGCAAGTATGGGGTAAGAAACCAGCATCTCTCACGCCGCTCTGCTGCTCACGTTTTCTCTTCACACTGACCCAAAAGGACCCCTGTTTTATATTCAATCAACTCAATGAAATATAGTTTTCAAGTTCACAATCGTACACTGTCAGATGGTAATATTTAGGGGTGAGTACTGCTAAAATGGGACACCTGGCAAACCAGGTGATCTTATTTAAGGAATACATAAATAACTGAAGCTTCCTCATTACTGAAAATGTATTTGATGAAGAAAATAGGCTCACGTGGTTATGAAATTGGTGTGACATCATGTACAGGGACTCTTGATCCTAGAATCACAGTGGTAACAAAAATGGCATTATGTTATGACATGGGCTGTAAGGTGGCCCAGTTGGTAGCACTGTTGCCTCGCAGCAAGAAAGTCACCGGTTTGCATCCCGGTGGGCACCGCGATCTTTCTGCGTGGAGTTTGCATGTTCTCCCCGTGCAGCGTGGGTTCTCGTGGGTTTTCCGGCTTCCTCCCACAAGGTCCAAAAAAACATGTTGAGGTTAATTGGTGATTCTAAATTGTCCGTAGGTGTGAATGTGAGTGTGCTTGGTTGTCTGTCTCTAAGTGTAGCCCTGTGATAGACTGGTGACCTGTCCAGGGTGTCCCCTGCCTTCAACCTAAGTCAGCTGGGATAGGCTCCAGCCCCCCCACGACCCTAGTGAGGATTAAGCGGTGTATAGATAATGGATGGATGGATGTTATGACATTCAAAATCTAAAAAAATGGGTTAATGTTTGTAGGAGTGTGTCAAGTTGGGAACTGAGATACTGGAATGACTCTGTAAAGTGTTGCAGAATACAAAGTGTCCCATTTTACCAAGACTTGCTGTATTCGAAGACATTTCACAGTAGCTACACAGGCTTGGACTTTACTTTCAAAGCAGAGCGAAAGCTATAAACCATAAACACACCGCTACAGTCAGAGGTGTCAGGATTCCCAAAGCCCATCAAGAATAAAAGTCTGTAATTCTGTTTAAAAAAATCCTCAGAACTCAAACAGGTAATGAGAATCAGTTAGTTATATGGTAGGAAATTTGTTGATTGTTGTGTTGTTGTTTTTTTTTTTCAAATTTAATGTCCATGTAGATTTATTTCATATCTTTGTCTTGTGTGGCAGTAAGACGCAGCATCTTTGGGTTTTGGAGAGTCGATTATTTTGTAATTTTTCCCATTTTGTACCCCAAATAATTACAATTATTTGAGAAAAGATGAGACAGATCATCAATACAGTACAAATAAATCTTAGTTTTAGCCTCAGAAATGATAAAACAATATATCCTTCTTATCCTTATCATGTCTGATTTTGAAAATGAAGTGCTAGCAGTGAAAGCAAAATGACCGACAGTTCTGTGACAAAAACTCAGGGACTTGTTTTCAGCTGCAGGTTGTTTACGCAGAACAGAGTTGAAGATCAAGAAGCGAATATGGGAAAAAAAATACAATGTAGGTAGTAAAATAACAATAGCGCCACCTTTTTCCTCAGCATTGGTAACAACTCTGGGAATTCATAAGTGCCGTGCATACTAATTCCATCTTTTTAAAAATGTTTGTAGAATTAATAATCAAAGACGTGGCACTTCTGTCTGATTTTAGCCATAGCTGTGTTGTTTCCATGGAAGTGCAGGACTTTATCTTGCTGTGAAAAATGAACTTGCAGTGACTGTAACAGGAGCACAAAATGCCCAGAAACTGCTTGGAAATCAGAGGGTTAAACTCAAGTGTTGATGTACATTTACAGTTTTTTCAAGTCTTGCAGGGATAATAACAGTTTCCTTCAAATGTGTATTTCCTAGTAAAGATTAAAAGGGGGTTAACATTTTCAGAAGATAATTGTTTTATTATTGTCTGACAGCCAGAGCTGGTTAGGAGGTGTCTGTCCACACATGGCTTCATTCTTCTGTTTCATCTAAAAACTTCCCAGACAAAGAGATGAAGGACTGAAGTCAACACTCCCCTCATCTGTGCTTTTTCCTTCAGTCTGTAATGATAATGATTCACCCCCTCTGCCCGACTAATGAGAAAACCTCAGCACATGAGGTGACACGAGCAGTGAAAGACAGGGAACAATCGCCTTGTGAAATGAGCGGTTGAAAGGGACCTCAAAGATTTAATGAACAATCATGTGATATTGCTTTGCGTTACATAAATATTTGGGCTCATGAGGCCAAAAAAAGGGGACCGAGATTAACTGAGATCATAGAGTTATTTCATTTCATTGAAAGAAATATCTGACAGCAGATTACAACAGGCCCCGAATCAAGCCCTGTTATTTTGGCTCCTAAGCTCATAATTGTGGTTTTAGATCAGCATGAAAGACACACATTTATGAGCGGATGGGATTCCAGCGCTGATTCAACACAACTCGATTGGAGTTTTTTTTTTTTTTTCATCTGACAATCAGATCTATTCCATACAGCCATCTGTGAAAGAGATGCCCTGTGTGACAGGACGGACATAACCGCAAAGGAGAATAAAAGCTCTAATAACTGCAAGAGTCTGGTTTCTGAAGCTCAGCCATTGAACTTTTCCACATTTGGAGGAATATTCTCTTATTTTTCAGTCTTGCAAAAGAATACGGTATAACAGTGATAAGAAAGGACGGGAAGTTTAGCCACAGCATGTCAAAGTTTATCTCCAATATATCTTTTAATAATATCACATAGTCATATTGTGGTTGTGATATTTCTCTGGTAAAAGATGTTGCCTAAGACACCATTCCTCTGGCTCAGACTGTGAGATAACAGAATGATTTGTAAGTTTTGCAGCCACAGAAAATGTTCAATTCTGGCCACAAATTCATTTGTCTTCAGGACAGGATGAAAATTTACCACCGCACATGACCTGGTGTGAACAGCGCGGCGATGGAGCCTCAGCTTGGGAGCTGTGGTAGTTAGATGGTTATTGGAAAGGAAACAAGCAAAAAAGAATATTTTTCTGCTGCAAAAAGTGAAGTTTATTGTTCAGATTTTTCTCTTTTTTTCTGACCTAGTAGTTCTTGACTTGTGTTGTGTGCTGGTTTTTCTACCATTTGGTACAAATCATTTTTCCCAAATGTTAAGTTCGACCTCATGACTCAGCGCCTGCTTTTTTCAAGTGAGTACGATTGAGTTTCACAAGGGACAAGATTTCAGATGACCAACAAAAACAAATAACATGTCAGTCCATTAATATTAGGCTGAATCTATTTTTAGCCATGATAGTGGTGTGGCTGTAGGAACAAAAACGATTGGTTGACTGATCCACTGCTTCGGTCCTGACAACGACCAAACAATAAATTAATTTCAAATCAAACTTGCAATTTGAAACAATGCAATTAGAAAAAGCTGCAATTAAGAATACACATGGTGCGACTATGAAATAATGAGTACTGTAGTTTCATTTTATTTACTTTGAGCAGACTGTGTGGTTCAGGTTGCTCGCTGTGGTCCGACTGACATAAGTTTTTGCATGTAACAGTGACACCTCGCACATTTTACAGCACGTCTGACCCGGGGTTTAAGCTGTCATGTTCATGGTTTCATCACAGGCTTTAAATCTGCTATGAATGAATATTGAGCGGAGGTTTGGCTTTGAAACGCTACATTGCAAATCAAATCACTATATTTGTCAGAAAAATTGCAATTAGATATTTTCCCCACATTGTTCAGCCTTAGTTCTAAAAGTCTTAAAAAAATCTAACAATTGAAATACTAATAATAAGACGAATATTGTTGGATTTCTCATTTTAATGCTAATGTTTGTTGACAAGATCGTATCACTAGAAACATACAAAATTTGCAAAATAGCTTCCTAGATACTTTCTCAGTTCCACAAAACACCTTGTCAGCAACTTGTGTGAGGACTATTAAATGGGAATTTCAGCTTTTTGTTGTTTCCAGGCAGATTTACAACTTTCCACTGATCATTGTACTGATCATGTGTGACATGACATTCTGCTGGGATATTTATTTATTCAAAACCACTTTATTCTACATCCTGTCATTTAAAAATATGCCAAAAATAAAGTGTTTGCTCTTATTAGATTCTGTTGAAAGCAACACAAAAAATGTGCTTCATAGCACAACAGACAAGATATAACTGAGTCAACAATAATGTGGCAAAAATTCTAGGGCTTCTCAGCTGAACTGCAGTAAGTGTTTACACAGAGCAGACAGGAGACGAGTAAAAACATGCAAATTGCAATTAGATGTTTTCCCTAATTTGCCCTTGTCCTCACTATTAACTGCTAATTTTGAAAGTTCCATTCATCATCTCCAGAGGATAAACTCTAATGATGTGTTAACATTGTCGTGCAGAGCGTGTCAGCGTGCTGTGAGCTCTTCTGTGTCCAGCTACGATCTCACAGAACTGCTAGCATGGAGTGCTTTCTCTATTCAGGTTATTATTTTACCATATTTCTAGCATAAAAAGCCTCATTTAGGCCATTACATCTGTTTGGAGATCATTTTTTATTACCGTGTTGGTTTTTGGTTCAACTAAATTTACACTGATAAAACAGAACACCAGAGGTGTGTCGTTTATACATACAGTATATAAACATAGAGTTTATTAGCTACACCTAACATAAAAATAATGCGTCTAATACAAGATTCCTGCAATAAATCCCCCCTCCATGGAGGTTATAACATTCAGTTTTTGTTGAAACTGCTGCAGAGAGGTGTTAATTCAACTTTATGATCGTTTCAGAGGCTGCAGGTTGAGGCTGTGAATTATAAATTACATTATATGTATTACATTTACATCATTGAGGGTAAGCAAAATAACAGAAACAACCCTTGTGATTAGATGGTTGTGAGGCTCTGATTGGGTAACTCTTAGCAAAATTAGGTAAATTCAAACAACCTAAGAAGAGAAGATAAATCACAGCTCAGTTCAACAGTTCTCAAAGTATATGTTCTTTGAATTTTGGGGTCATTGCCAAAATGAGATTGGGAACCACTGATGTAGAGCAACACAACAGCGATATTTCACTAACTATAACCCCCAATGTCTTCAGGGGGTTGAGCTAAATTCAAAGATTTTAAAGATCATTGAACCGTGGGGGTGTCGCAGACTTTAAATCACAGCATGAGACTTTGTCAGAGGTGGGAAAACTAATACAGATGTCAGGGGAGGAAGTTAGGGTAATTTATAGCAAAACTTTGGTAACAATGATGCATCTTGCTTCTCAGTTAGACTGAAGTCTATAACACAGATGGGCATAAGAGTCTTTTTCAAACCTGGAAGATGAAGGTATGAAAAACAAACAGGCTTTGATGGCTGTATTAGCGAGGCCCTCTCTCAGCGCCTCTGCCCTTTTTATCGCCAGCTTGTTCTCTCTTAGCGTAAATCTATCAGGCCCACATCCTTGTCCGTTAAGGCCCGGGCCACTGACCTTTTAGCATGGCTGAGATAGTGAATGGAGCAGCAGGGCGGCTTATTGAAACCAGCTGGCAGAGGGGAGTCCTGCAACCAGAGAGTGGCAGTTTGCTGCTTTATTTAATCTGGATAGGCTCAGGGAGCTGCAGGGCCGTGGCATATTTACTGACCCCGGGGGTCAGAATCTATGCGTGGGATCATAACTCTTTTTCATGGGCCTGCTCTTCTGCCGTACACAATTGTCCTGTAAAAGCCTTTGAAGTCGAGACTCAAGGAGCCGTGCTTTGGTTTAATGGGAAATCTAATGCAAGGTTGTGCAGCGCTGTCCTTGTAACATGTGTTCACTTTATACTATTATCTATCTGGGGGCAACTTAGAGCTCTCCTCCTTTTCTTTTAGTTATTTAAATGAATTCTCTTTGTGTTCTAGACTGAGGAGTGATGATGTTTACTCAGACCACTCAGTAATACTAAAGATATTTGTTAGGCCTACAAGTCCTCTTTATCTAAGACTTGGGAGGCCTATTGCTCACTCTTGATTTCCCCTAAGAAGCCAGAATGGGATTTCTTGAACTGATGTCACGGTCCCGTGTGGTCCTGAGGTGAACGTGAGCAAACGTTAGTCATGGTGTTGATCCAGCTGACTCTTCATTTCTCATAAGAGAACATTAAGAGCACCCGGTGACCCTTGGCGTATTGCTCAAGATGCACTGTGATCCAAAGCATATGGGCTCTGGAAGTTAGATGCCTCTCAGCAGTTTTGATGTGGTCTCATCAACTCCTCTCCTCCTCTGATTTGATCTGGAATCATGTAGATTTATAGATGAATTTCTATGCTGTTTGTGTTCTTTTTTCTTCTTCTCACAGCTGTCAGACTGCAGAAGAAAAACACGAAGCCACGAGAGGCCTTTGATAAATCATTTTCACCCTTATTTAACAATCCAACCCCCCCTCAGTTCTCTGAATTGATTTATTCTGACCAACTTGCTTTTGCCTTCTTTCCTAGGAAGTGTGTAGAGAGCTCTGGTGCCTTAGCAAAAGCAACCGCTGTGTAACTAACAGTATCCCTGCTGCAGAGGGGACTCTGTGCCAGACTGGCAGCATCGAGAAGGGGGTAAGTCTTCAGATGTTCCTCACACACATTAAGGAAAAAAAAAAAACACCTCACATTTTCCTACATTGTTCTTGCCTCCATATCTTCCTCACTATGTTGTTGGATCAGGGTTATGAAGAAATGAACAAACTGACCTGAAACAGATTCTTAAGAAATGTAAGCAAAGTTCTTGTCAGCTGAACACTCACAGCTGACCCATGATATCAGTCCGTTAGCTACTTAGACCTATGAGTGAATATTCAAGTTGAGCATTTGATTAAATACATTTCTGCAGTTGCTCCAATTGTCCTATGAATGAGGGTTGACCCATAAGGATTTTTCAGGGCTGAAATAGATTATTAGTAATCAAGGAGACATATAAGACTGACACATATTTGCAGTAAAAATGAAAGCCTTGTTGTCAAAATTTAGAAATAACACAAACTCCAACATAAAACTTAGTTGAAATGCCTTTGTTTATTTATGTTTTCAATATGGGAATCTTTTGAGTCAGACTCGGGGTGTTTTTTTTTTTACTGCAAAAATAAAGTCCAGCACCTCAATGAAACCAGCACAACACTGGCTAGAAGGAGACAGAACTCAGAAATATCTTACGTAATTGTAATGCCATACATTTTAAAAATTCAAAGACTGATTGTTGAATTTGAAAATTCAATTATTTTTGTTTTTACGGTTTCTGGCTCTGATGAAAGATTGGACTCAGCCTACAGTGTGGATTTTTGTGTTAAAGTCATAGTTGAATTTTCTTGGCTTATGCGATGAAATCCACTGATAGCACTGAAATGAATCACATAAATATACTTGGCCTTGCTGCTGTGATCTGGATAATTTGCCAAATACTTCCCAGTGGCATCACTTTCTACTGAAGAGACAGTGCTCATGAAATTTCCTTAAAGCTTCCCCTCGGTGTTGTCCAGAATATTTTGCAGTTTGGAAAGAATGCTGCCCTTGAATCTAAATGTATTTTTTAGTTCCGTGAACACAAATAAAACTATATAATATTTGGGGATTTTACTGAGAAGAGTCAGAGCTGGATATCTCAAATAAAATAGTCACAAATCAAACCTAAAATATCTGCACGTATGTCGGCAGAGGTATTGTCGCAGTGATCAACAGCAGCAGATGAACATCCAGCGGAGAGAAGCTGAGTCAGTCTGCAGAGAACCTGAGTAAATACAGGATTCTTTATTCCTTCCAAACTTCCAAGAACAGCTTAAAAACATTTATCCTGGGATTTATATGATACTATTCATCTTTTTCAAATTTAAATTGAAACCAATGCAGTTATCAAATTGGAAAAGCTGCAGTTTAAGAGAGTCTGATCCAAAGTTTAAATTGTCATGTCATAGGTTTTATAAATTCACGTCATCCTCCTTGTGTGACAGTTGTGTTTATGATGGTGTCTTGTGGCAACGCTTCATTGTATATATCAAATCTATTACTCAGTGAATATTAAACAGAAGTTTAAAAAATTGTATCTGTCAGATAAACTGTAATTGGATTTTTTTCCCAAAATTGTTCAGCAATAAATAAAGTTCTTTTTTTTGGCTTTGTTTTTTGTAATTTGGATGAATCAGCCTTTTGTTAACACCATATATACTTAATGAAGTACCTGGTGATGTGAAATGAGTGCAACAATCAACTGGAGGTACCTCAATGCCTCCACTCTGGGAAGGGTTACCAATCCCTGAGTGTGCACTCACACACACACACACACACACACACACACTTTAATGCAGGCCAGGCTTTAGGTCATCGTCCCGCTGTTGATGCCAGCCAGGTTAGGGGAGACAGTTTTAACACGGATTACGGCAGCCATTGTCACCGGATGGTCCGAGGTCTAAAAGGGAAGAATAGGAGAGTGTCACGAGCTGTCACCCGTCATTACCATTAGCTCAGTGGAGCCTTTGAGGACCGGGGCCCGCGGACAGGGTCCTGGACAACACAGGGGGCCCCAGGTTGAGCCTGGGGGGCTTTGGAACAGCTTTTGGAGCAGCTTTAGGAGAGCCAGTGGCATACCCTGTCTGCCGCTGCCGGGGGCAGCTTCAAAGGAATATGAATGTCAGCCATTTCTCACCCAGCGTGTAATGGAGAGAGGCCCTTCCAACAGGAGCAGGGAGGGATGGAGACTGGGGGAGGGGGCAGAGGGAGACAAACTGACCGACAGACAGGAGTTTTTGTGTTTTTACTGTGAGTTCAAATGGACACAGTGACGGACAGTATACTCCAAGGTTTCGTGTCCTGATCCCTCTGTCCCGCTGCTAATCTTGTTTAGACAGCATCTCAGGACGTGAATGAGTAACTCAGATAAAGAGGACAGTGGCCCAACGTAGCCCTCACCTTGACTGTCCCGGTCTCTGCGGGTTATTAACCTACTGACACAGTTGGAGATCTCTGATCCCCTCTCCCCTCTGGAACTCTGAACAGCTTAACACGAGGCTTGTAACACTCCTGAAACACACTGTAGTGCTTTCTTTCCTTCACCTGCCTCTAAAACCACCCCATTGTGCCCTGCAAACATTAAATACACATGCAGCAACATTCAGAATCATTTACCAGGACTTCTTCCATCGTTCAAGACTTGATATAACATGGCTATTAATCATCAAAATGATGAAAGCAAACTTTTAGTTAAAGTGATAAATGAAAGGAACATTTTAACATTTTTGGAGATACCATCATTTGCTTTTCTCTTCATTAGTTTGTTTTCATAGATTTAATGTTTTTATTGTGTTTTCTGTTGTTTTATTGTCTTTTTGTAATGTTCTTCTGTATGAAGCAGTAAAGTTTAGTATTACTATTATTAATATTAATATTATTATTTGATACTGGATGAACCCTCTGAACCCCAAAACCTACCTTTACAAAAGGCATGTTATGTTTAAAATTTGCCAAAATGCCACCATTTATCAGAGCAGGAGTCATCAGATTTTTAACTTTTCGATAATTTAAAATTATATTATTTCATCAAAAAAAACTGAATTGTACATGTCTCATTTATCAATTTACCAAAAATAAATAGTTAACACTGATCAGATTCTGTAAAAAAACTAAGGAAATCTGCATTCCTCGGTGCAACAGACAAGTCATTAGTCATCAAGAATTTAGGTACTTTTTGGTTGAACTGCAGGCTGTGTTTACGCAGATAGAAAGGAAACAAATGAAAAACAAGTAGTAATATATCAATATTGTGTAGATCCACCGCCATTTATTTTTCAATATTGGTAACACCTGTAGGCTTTTGGAAAAATACAGTACATATTGATTTCAGTTTCCTTTTTTTTGGTAAAATAAATAATTCCATCCATCCATTATCCACCGCTTAATCCTCATTAGGGTCGCGGGGGGGCTGGAGTCTATCCCAGCCGACTTAGGGCAAAGGCAGGGGACACCCTGGACAGGTCGCCAGTCCATCGCAGTTCTACACTTAGAGACAGACAAAATAAATAATTAAAGAAATTAAATTATTCTTATTATTTTTTAAATGCTTTTTGACATTATAACTGTGTCATACTGCACAAAAGACATTTCTGAGTTCTCTTACCATGGTCACGTTTCCACAGTAAATAAAAATGTGACAGGATTAAAAAAAAAAAAGTCAAGAAACTTCTTTGGGTTCAGACACTTAACAAACATAATAATTTCTCATTATACTCTTTCTGGACTCTGTCTGTGAGTTAAGTATTTTAAGCATATTAGCATCAAGCCTCTTAGAAAAGTAAACATGTGAACCTGTAACTGTTTCCAATATGCTGAAGTATTTATTCAGTGACAAAATGGACACAACCTGAATTGAGTTACATAAACAGTTAAAAAAAAAAGAAAAAAATGACAAAGGGGAAACCAGGACAGCAATAACAAAATAGAAAATAACAGGTAGCAGAGGAGAAATAACAGGACTAATGCGGAAATAAAATTATAGGGTGAGTAATAGTGTAATCACAAGTTACTCTTTGAGTGTATGTGTGTTTTTAAAGACACGCAGCGGGAGGGACAGAGAATGTGTTATTGTAGGAAAACTTCATCAGTCAGCTTCTGTATAGTCTACACTTCACTATTTGCAAATGCAAGTAAATACATGTGTGCTCACAACTGTTAGAAAACTGTAAAACTGACACTTAACTATTCTCCATTGTAATAAGTTGTGTGTTATTGTGAGTCTCTGTAAGTGAAGACGCGTTAATGTGTCTCAGCGTTTCTGTAATAACCTCTGTGTGTGTGTGTGTGTGTGTGTGTGTGTGTGCGTGTTTGTGCTCCTCCCCGGACAGTGGTGCTACCAGGGGGAGTGCGTGGCATTCGGTACCTGGCCTCAGAGCGTGGACGGAGGCTGGGGGCCGTGGTCGCTGTGGGGGGAGTGCAGCAGGACCTGTGGGGGCGGTGTATCCTCCTCCATGAGGCACTGTGACAGCCCAGCGTAAGTAGGCAAAGTAAGCCACAGCAAGCTGAACACACACATCCAGGTTCTGCCTACAGGTGTGTGTGTGTGTGTGTGCGCGTGTGCGTGTGTGTGTGTGTGTGCACATGTGGATGCTGTGTAAACGTGTGTTACATCCTTGTGGGAGCATAGAGCGGTAATTAGATTGTGTCGGATTCAGCTGTTAAATATTTCCAGGACTAAATGCTTCTTTGGGAAAGCGAAAACCTCTTTCAGTCTATTTGATGACTTTTCAGTGAAATATTAACTTTTAAGCTCCTCTAATGTTTTTTGTTGTTTACTCCTGCAGGACGTAATGAAGCATTTTACGTAACTTATAAACCGTTCAAAGTGCCTTTTGTGACATATGGTGCAGTGGTCTGAAATGCCGATTTTTGCACTCATGGACTCAGTAACTTTTAGGGAGTCAAGTTTTCCCCAACATTGTACACCCTTTCTGAGAGTCTACATATCTGCAGACTTTCCTGAAGAACTTGACCGTAGTTCATAGTGACATTGATGGCTTATAAATGTATTTGTCCTGCCCTTCCACAGAATGTAGCTACACAAACAAAGCATCAGTAGCGTGGGGAAGAAAGTCCCTATTGTGTTTATTTATTGCATGTTTGTGGAGTTGTTTGTGTTTTTAGTCAAAAGTAGGATTTACATGTTCATTGCATTGCTGACTTTTGTGAGGTTGCTAACCAAACAGGGAATGATCAGCTGAGCAGTCAGTCAAACTTCAAATAAAACACAAGTCAAACGGAACTTTGTGCTCCTGTACAACGTCTTTCAAGTCCATTTTTGAGGGCAAAAAATGTACCTACTGTGGTGTAGATACAACACACACGGCAGTAGTGTGTATGTGCAGAATATGCACATACAACCTACTGCAAAAGTCCCTTTGGACTTCACCAGACAAGGAAAGTAGCACAACAAAAACTGTGCATCCATGGGTGCCATTTGCATCCATACTGGTGTGTGATGAAAGCTTTCGAGAGTTTCAGGTCATTGATCAGCTTTCCGGTTGCAACTTTACTGTTGTGGTTCACTCTGCCTATTCTCATCGTGTTATTTTGACTTGAAAAGCTCTAAAATCCTGCTACCGGCTCAGTGAAAACAATGGACGGACATAGTCTGAGATGAGCTGCTGAACAGTCTGGAGCATTTAGCAGCTGATGAACCAGATGTTCCACACAGGAGATGGTAGAGACCAAAAATGGAGTTAAAAGAGAGTGAATATTTGATTGTCCTTAATAAGGATGTTCATGTTGCCATACTTAGAAGAAATATGTGCAAAATATTTCCATAAAAAGAAAAAACATCTTCAAAAATGAAAAAACAATACCTGTCACCTATACCATATGGCCTGGGGTCCAAAAGACCCCAAAAGTCCTGAACAGGGTTATATTACTTTTGTCAGGACGTCAGAAGCAGGACTCTCAGTGACTAATAATGTTGCTCCACAACTGGTGGGTGTTTAAAGAAGAAACTGTTTGCTATTTTCAGCAGCTGTTCTTCAGACGCAGGTTTAAAGACAGTTGAAAAAGGAAATTTAACATGCCGTTACCACTTAATTTCCAAGTCAAGGAAAAGACAGAGTGCACAATGTCTCACTTT